ACGGCAAGTCCAACAGCTTGTTTCACAATAGCTTTGCACTCCTCCTTCGTTAAGTTCGGCTTCCAAGAGCTGTCAAGAAATCCCTAGAAAAAGAAGCCATAAGAAAGCCAGCGATACAATTTTAGAAGAGAAAACAGTGACTACATAGAATCAGAAAGATGATATCGAAGGTAAGAATGCAAAAATAAACTAACACAACGCATGCAAGAACTCCAATTGTATTACCTGAACAAAAGTGGATCCAGAACCAGATGCAGTTGATCTCTGCCGCGTCACGAATCCACCAAGAGGAATAGCATAGAGCTAAAAGAACAGAATTAAAGCACAGACAAGTCTTACAAAAGCATTGGCTTACCTGACCACCTTGCTCGTTATCATAACCTGCAATCAAAACCGAAGCAGAAAGCTGATCACGATAGTTATACAAAAATTTGCGGAATATTTGAGCACCACGATAGATGGTCACTGGTTCGTTCTCCAACATGCTGTAAAAGCATGTGTATTTAACAAAATGTGTACGCAAAACCTTTAAAAATAGTAACCAAAAGAGCTTACCTATACACCTCTATGTGATATTTGACGATGTCTGCAATAGCCTGAGTGTCCGCTGCTGAGCCCGATCGACATACGGACATGTAGTCTGTGATGGGAGTAATCTTATTTGTGGCTCGAGATGAGATGAACGATCTGAAGGAAATAAAATGTGTACTCGAACATATACAGATAATATGATCAAAACTTCAAATGGAAAGGCAGGAAATGGAATTTTATTCGAAGCAAAGGCAAACGATATTCTTACTTACCCAGCACTAGTTCTGGAATCTGTACCTACCACAACGCCCCCATTGTACTCCATGGCGATAAGGGTAGTCTAAACTAGTGATTTAAGTGCATGCTATATCAAATTTAAATTCTCAAATATATGTCGAAATCACAGAGCCATGCGAAAAATTGAGTTTGGCGATGCTATCTCAAATTTTGTTATCTGTACATGTAAACCTGATAAAGTGCAAATGCTATTTTCCTCTTTTTTT